GGGGGGGGCGATATATATATATAATTTCTGCTCATAAAGAAATTGCATTTCGGGTCTGTTTTGGCATGTGCATTAACGTCGCTCATAGGAATGGTGGATTTCATAGTCCGCACATCTTTCAAAGCACTTCCAATTCATGCAGGAAAGATGCATACTTTCCTTCAGAATTAGATCCATGGAGCTTCAAAACGGCCAGAGCTTTGGTCTGTTACAACCTTGGTCGTAAGATTCTCACTCTTCCGGTAACAAGCTTTTGTTCAATAGTAGCGTCAGTCAGGCTAGATTCCACCGGATCCGTCAGAGTGAGGAAATGTTTCAATTTCCTACTGTGAGCTGTCACCGTTCTCTGTGGAAACTTATTTGACATTCCATAATGAAATATGACTGTCTGCTTCCTCCATTCAAATTGATTTGACACTCTTCTGCTGATTGGTGTCTTGGTCATTCTTCCGTAGATCTTTCAGGCTACACCGTCAACTGCCAGAATTCGTGAAGTAAGAGATCGCAACTGTCCCCCAGTCTGCCTCGGGTCTCTAACAGCCTGATCAGCCATTCGCTATCCAACGACAACGATCTTCGGTATTGTTATTGTGAAAGGCTGGTTACTGAATTTTACGAAAGACTTCAGTACGACCCCGAAACCTTCTGTTATCTCGTCTTTGCTTGAAACCAGCAACAGCTGAATACAGTTAATGAATTAAAGTTGAAAATATAATCACGTCATTACCAAAGCACACCTCCCGTGGTTTTGAAAAGTTCTGATTATTACAAAGATCTGGCGAATCCGTTACTGACCGCTACGGAAAAATTTGGGGCATTCGTTTGTTGGAACAACTGTTAACTGCCCATGGATTTTCCAGTTTTTCATCGAAAATCGTGCGGCTTTTGATTTCGAGATATATGATTCAAATTGAATTTTGCTCGAAAGCCAGATGCACAACGACGTTGATCATTCATCGACTTTAAGGGCAACGCATGTCTTTTCCGTCTCGATTCTTTGCCGATCACGCATGGATTACGTGCACACCGGACGGCTTTTTGTGATCTCACGCACGAGCCCGTTAAAGCGATCAAGTTAAATTGACGGCTAGTTTTCCAACGGCTTCTTCTGCTGTCCGATTTGCGAAAAGCACCTGAACGTTTCACAGCAGTCAGCACCGTCGTATAGTTTGTGGTCAAGGATCTAACGACCTGCAGATCGATTTTAGGTAGCCGTTTTTGAAGATTCTGTACTAGAGCCGCGCGTAGCACGGTCAGCGTATTCGCAGACTTGATCAGGGACGCAAAATGTTTTAATCTCATAATCTACATGCGCGTGAGTTCTGTCAAGGCCACATTAAAATTATTGTATTCAGAATTTGAATTACAGTGCCATGTTTCTAAAGAGAAATGCTTTATTGATCATCTGGAACTTTACCAGTACTTACCACTAGTACCTCGTTGATGGGTGAAGATTTCACCGAACTTTTCTCTGCTGTATGAAGCGGTGGTTTAATACAGTGCCTGCCCTCCTCAATGCGTACCTCGATTACTGAGCACCTGTTCAGATGAAACTAGCCGCAATTTCTCATTTCAGTAATATGGCTTGCTAGATTAGGGTTGCTTGAGTTCAAATTCATTAGACAGTGCCAGCATTCCACAGATGAAAAACGTAGTCATCTTTTTATTGGGCATATTTACGGAATAACGATTCCTCGTATGACTATTACGCGTAGAAATCCGTTAAAAACAGTGATATCCTTTTGAATTTGCTTGTAAATATTTTCATAATTTTACTTCAGTAACGTAACAAATCAAATAACTGCGACGAAAGTTTGCTAATTGCGAGTTCCCAGCTCCGATAAATAGTATTTAGACTTCATAAGCATACACTCGGGTTACAATTACGCAAGTAATTACGGGTGATTAATGAACGCGCAATTAATCAACGCGCATCAGCGGATCAAATTGGTAACGAAACAGTTGTACGTTAACTTAATAATGTACAAAAACAGTTTCTTTATACACAACGCAAGCAGATTCGTCAATCGGGTGATATACCCGTAACGACCTTTCGGCTCGACTCTCATGGGTCTTCTTCCGGGTGGTCCGGATCGATATCGGTAGCTCATTCTGTGGTCTGCAGTTGTTGTGACGTTCAGAGTAACAGATGTTCATGGCCCATGCTGTCAGTTATGTAGTTTTTCGGTAACAGGCTTGACAAGGCTTGTCAAATCCTTGAAAAGTCCGTATTCTTTGTCCTGGTTGAGATTTTCGCAGGACTAGGTAATGAAGGCTTCTCTGATTTGTCTGTTCAGTCAGTTTCTTTCGTTAACGATGCCCATGCAATCTTAGCATTGGGGGACATCACACTTGTCTGCTGCGTGTTGCATCATCCCCGAGGTCTTTTCGCATTATTCCTTAACTTAGTTAGGAGCGATGGTTTGTTTTATTCCAAGATTCTGTTGCCGCATGTCGTTCGTGGTCATCCATCTCAATCTCGAAATAATCTCTTATTAATTCCACGTAATGAATATCATATTACAACCTGCCTGACATTTGTGATCACTCGATAACTGAAAATGAGTGCACAAGTCTACTGATTTCCGTCGTTTTGAAAGTCAAGGCCGAAACTACAAGCGTGACAGTCGTATCATGAGATCAACTAACGGATGAGAAATGGACACATTTCATCCATAAAGGCTACATAAGCAAGAGAACAAGTTTCCCTCGAAAGAGGACGCACATTAAGAGCATAAAGGTAGCACTCTTTGTTCATGCCGAACGTCTAACAAACGAAAACGTTACGCAGCCGTGACGACTGTCAGACTCGATGGTTTGTTCATTACTTCCAGCAGGAACTGATTTTCCCAACAGTGCGGGGTCATAGCGCTAATATTTGAAGGAAATATGATCAATCGCTAAGCTATCATAGCATAACACTACTGCCAACTAACAGGAAATTGTAATCTGGGATCATCCTGCAAAGACTGAGGAACAGGCGATAGGAAATCTCATCGAAATTATATAGGATTTAAGACGGAGGTATTTTTGCCCTGTCCAAATTTTCAAAACATATAATCACTGACGTGAACAAAATCATAAGCGCACTGGAATGCTTCAACACGGCGTATGCATTTTGAGAGATGGATGAGGGAATTATGTCTGCCACCTAAGTTCAATGGAGATTATCGAAGCTGTTCCCTATTAATTCATGCAACAGGAAGATGCATTTGCGTCTTTCTTATTCAACATAGTTTTCGACCTCATACTCTGAAACAGTGCCAATCAGGGCAAAGCCAAAGGTGTAATCGTAGTAAGGGTTGCAGTTAAATATATCATCCAAACATACCTTTCTGATCTGGAGTAC